CATGGTGTGGAAGGGGATGCTGAATGCTCTGAGGTCAGACCCAGGAAGGTTGAAGCTGTTTAAGCTTCTTGCCCTGGAGACAATATTCTCAGAGAGTGGAGGCATGCTCTCCCAGAATCCTGACTGGCTTCATAGGGAGTAGTTCCAGAGCATTGCTATGTTTCAGCATGACCTTTGACTTAAATTCTCCTTTGTAACACCGAAAGGTCTTCATAAATTGCACTTGCAAAAAAATATTAATAATTGAATTCTGCAGTATCACCAAAGCAGGAGTGAACTCTTTCATATTCCTTAAATCTTTCTTTTTCAAAATGTCTGTGGAGTGTGATATGGGCTATTTGTCTCATAACAAATACAAAACAGAGGAATTTAATGGAACAGTGATCCATTACAGTTTTTTTCTTTTTCTGTATGTGATGGGTAAAATCTGTACATTGTGGTAATTTTTGCAGTGTTGAAGGAACTGGGCACATTTAGTCTATAAGAAAGAAGGCTGTAGGGCCACATGATAACAGACCCTAAATATGTAAAAGGCTGTTAAAAAGAGAATGGTGATCAATTGTCTTCCATGTCTACCAAGGGTAGGACAAAAAGGCATGCTGCAAAGGAGATTTCAGTGAGATATTAGGAAAAATTTTCTAATGATAATGGTATGGAAAAGGTTATGTAGGGAGGTTGTGGAATCCCCATCACTGGAGGTTTTAACGAAGAGATGACAAACTTAAGTCAAGTTTACTTAATTCTGCTTAAGCACAGGGGACTGGATAGATGACTTTTGGAGGTAACTGCAAACCTTACATTTCTGTGATTCTGTTTCTATGATTTTATGGATTGCACCTCAGCAATCACTGATTTTTAATTTTCTGATCAGTTCCTCTTTCTTTGTTGACATGAAGCCTGCCGTAGTATTCCCCTGTGTTAGATGTTTTAAGTTAGGACATTTTCATTTTTATTTTATTTTATTTTTAGAAATTCTGAGGACATTTTATAGTGAAAGGTTTAATGAGCTCAATCTATTTGCCTAAACAAAGAGAGGGTTGAATTCTGACTTGATCCTGGTACACAGATACCTACATGGGAAAGAGTAGAGGGGTCTTCAGTCTAGCAAATCAAAGCAAACCAAGATGCTATGTGGGAAGCTGAAGCTTGATCTATTCAGGCTGGAGATGAAGCGTAAATGTAGAACACTGATATGAATTAACCATTGAAACACCTTACCCAGGGATATGGTAAATTTTCTGTCACTTGAGAAATTTAAATCAGACCTGGAGATATCTTTAGAACAATGTGGTCTAGGTCAACCAGAAGATATGGACTTGATGCAGAAATAACTGGCCTGAGTTTTGCAGGAGGTCAGACTATATGAACATAATGGTCCTTTTGACCTTCATATGTCTGGTTCTATATCTGCAGGTCTGTAAGTTACCTGGATACCTGTTAGTCTTGTCTCTGGATTTAGGCCCCAGGTCCAAAAGTCTTTCCTATTAAGCAAAACATCTAAGGAACTGCTTAACTCCAACTAAAGGTAATTGGACTCAAGCTTCGAGATTAATTGCTTTGCTCAAAGGTGCGCCTGTGAAACTATACAGATGGACTTGGAGAGGTTTGTTGGAAGGGAGCATCTTCCAGCCCATCTTCCAGAACATTTCAGCCCAAGTGGGAGGAGAATGGCTACTTCTCCTCCAGAGTTCTCCTCTCTGGGTCTGTGCTATATGTAGCAGGCTGACTGGGTGAGGAGAGCCAGTATCAGGCCAGTGGTGTCAGCCAGGGTCTCATGGATGATGGGGAAGGACTGGATGAGCATTGATCAGCATTGGGATGGGACCCTAGTGTTAGTCCATTGTGACCCAGGTGTGACCCATCAAGCCCCTCAATGCCAGCCGGCAGAGGGCACACCATAGCCTAAATCACATCAGGCCTAACACGCTCATTGCCCCAGCTCACCTGTCATAATCTGTATCTAAAAGGGGTCAAATAAGGGAAGGGTTCCCAAACCCTGGGCTCTGTCCATGACATAGTCCCAGGTGGTCTGCTATGGGTTGAGTTTTGTGTGGACAACCCCAAACTTTATAGATTGGTAGAGTGGTGGCTGGTGAAGCAGAGCTGCCAACTGATGGGCAGAGGGTAAGGAGAAGGGACCTACCTCATGAGACGGCGGCTGGAGGAGGCTGCATGGTTCACGGCTGTTCCCACTCTGAGCTTCAATACCCTGTGATTCCTGGCTGTGCGGCCCCCTGTAGTATTGTCCCTAAATTGGGATCGATGAGGGGTGATTGAGTCCATTAAGGTAACAGCCAGTCCTGGCTAGAGCATCTGCCTCTGCCCAGCAACAGGACTGGCCTTAGGGAAAATGGTGACTGGGTGGGCCGGGGGGAGGGAAGCTTCCTGGAGCTGGGGGAGGTTCCCAGAGGAGGGTCTAACTCGGCTCCAGGAGCAGCCCATGCAGTTGAAGAGGATGTCCTGTCCCTCCTCAGTCTGGACAGGACTAGCAGGTGGACCACGGTACATGGTAGGAGCCCCTGGCTAGGGTGCCATCAATTCTGCCCATCCCTAGCTCTGACCCCAGCACTTGGGGGCTTGGGCTGGCTGTGTGTGGTGGGGAGGGGGGTTATAATACCCCCCTGATCGTGGTGTCCTGGCTGGTCTCCCATTATGACCACCCCTAAGGCCAACCCTGGCACTGGGAGCCCCCAAGTCCTTCCCTTGTTCCTGGGCAGGGGATGCCTGAGATACGTGACAGGTGCTGGGTGGATGACTGGAGCAGAGCTGCCAGATGACCACCTGAAGACACTCAGCAGGCGTCTAAGCCATAGTATAACAGTGGGGGCTGGCTGTGACAGCTTCTTGGCTCCTTTGCCCTCTCACTGGCCCTGTCCCCCGCTGAGATGAGGGGTCATATACATGTCCTATGGGGCCCCTCACTCTGACGGACACATGTTAATAGTGGGTCTCTGCCTATTATTGGTGCACTAATGGGTCTCATGGAAAAATGTTTGGGAACCCCTGGTGTAACTTATCATAGGTGAACTGGTAACAAGCTGGTAACCCTTGCTCCAGATCAGTGCATCATGGGATCTTGTATGATTTATAGCCCAGTCCCTGTAGGGTGGGGTTGGGGAGAGGATGGAGCTTCTCTGGGATTTTCTGTTTAGACTCTGGGTCTGGAAGGAGTAACAGCACTAACATTAATGAATAAGTTCAACACTTGTTTCCTTGCCCACCCCTCCCAGCAGGATTTCCAGTTTCCAAACCAAATGTCCTTTCCTGGCTGGAACGACGGGAGGCGCTGTGGGTCCCTGATCTCCAGAGCCACGAGGAAAGGGAGAGCCCAAGCAATTCCCACACAGGTAATGAAACACCTGAGTTAGAAACTAATTGTTAAACCCTTGTGGCTGATGCCTCTTATGCATTTTCATCAAGCCTGTCTGACCCTTCAGCCCCTGCCTTGATCTATACTCAGAGGATGTGGAGGAAGGATGGGTCTCCTCCTCTCACTCCTCTGGGGAAGGGTATTGGGGTAGAAAGATACAGTTCCTGATATTTCAATCTCCCCAGCAGTTATTTGGGTTTGTTCCCCCTTTCCTGTTTCCCTTTCTGAGGTTCCCTGTCCCTGGCACAGGTACTGACTCCTGTCTAGATTCTCTCTCTATCCCTGCAGGTGATGGGACAGTGAATGAGATTGAGGAGGAGAATCCTCAGCAGGAAGGTCCTGAGCGAGTGGAACCACAGTGGATGGTATCAGGAAGAGGTGAAGGGCATGTTTCCCAGAGTCCTGAGGAGGGAGAGGCCCGTGAGAGTCAGAGCAGCACAGAGAAGCATCGGGGAAACCTCTCAGAAGGGAGACAGAGTAAATCCACTCACAGGAGCAGAGGAGTCAAGAAAGTCAAAGAAACTATTCAACAGAGAATCCCCATTAGAGAGAGACCCTACATGTGCAGTTACTGTGGGAAAAGCTTCCAATACAGATCAGAACTCCTAGCACATCAGATATTCCACACAGGAGAGAAACCTTATGAATGTCCTCACTGTGGAAAAAGTTTCAGTCAGAGCTCAGCCCTTATTCAACATCAGAGAATCCACACAGGAGAGAAACCCTACAAATGTAATGAGTGCAGGAAAAGCTTCCGTTTGGGCTCAGACCTTCTAGCACATCAGAGAATCCATACAGGAGAAAAACCCTATGAATGCCCTGACTGTGGAAAAAGCTTTCGACGGCGCTCAACCCTTGTTTCCCATAAGAGAATCCACACGGGAGAGAAACCCTACAAATGCAATGAGTGCGGGAAAAGCTTCCGTTTGGGCCCAGACCTTCTAGCACATCAGAGAATCCACACAGGAGAGAAACCCTATGAATGCCCTGACTGTGGAAAAAGCTATCGACAGCACTCAGCCCTTGTTTGCCATCAGAGAACTCACACGGGAGAGAAACCCTTTAAATGTCCCCAATGTGAGAAAAGATTCACTAGGAAGTCACACCTTAATCAACATCAGAGAACCCACACGGGAGAGAAGCCCTATGAATGCCCCGACTGCAGGAAAAGCTTCAGTCAGAGCTCAAGCCTTATTCAACATCAGAGAATCCACACAGGAGAGAAACCCTATAAGTGCCATAACTGTGGAAAAGACTTCTGTGACAGATCAAGCCTCCGTAGACACCAGAGGATCCATACAGGAGAGAAACCCTATAAATGCCATGACTGTGAGAAAAGGTTCAGTCGGAACTCAAGGCTTATTAGACATCAGAGAACCCACACAGGAAAGAAACCGAATAAGTGCCATGAGTGTGGAAAAGGCTATTATGATAGCTCAAGCCTCAGCAGACACCAGAAAATCCATACCCGACACAAACCCTAGAAATGTCCTGGCTAGGGATGGGCTATGTCAGTAAAACCTTTGCCAATTCCCACATATCTAAGCAGGTCAGGCCAGGCTGAAATGGCCCTGTAATGAGAACATGCCATTGTTCTTAAAGCAGAGAGTGGAATCACTTTTCTGGAACAGAGCTGGCACAGCAAGAGGCTGGGCCTGAGATAAGAGTCCCATGTTGCGATGGGATTTGATTATTACTTCTGGAGAAGCTCTGAACATCCTCCATTCAGGTCCTTCATTTAAATTTTGAGTTCTACACCTAGGACCCTATTTTTATCATATGCTGGGACTTCTCATTTCTTCTTGATAGTGTTTTAGGCTGGGATCCACCAGGGGACTTAGGCGCTGGGACACTGAACATTCCAACACATAACTTTTAGGCATCTAGAAGATCACAAGAACAACACTGAGATCCATAAACCCGAATCAGATGACTAGGCTCTCAGTACAATCAATTGGGCAAGATGGGCATCTTAGATCTGGATTCACAATAGCCAGCCCGCTGTGTGGGGAGCTACTTTATCTTGCCAACAGGAGATGCCAACAAGAGGGGTATGTCCTAAACCCTGCCCCTCTGACGGAGATAGGCACCTATCTCTGTTTGTGCTTTATGAACTAGTGAAATTAGACACTTCCCTGCCAATGAAACCCATCCCAGTATGCTTGTTCAGTGGCCAGCTAACTTCCCACAAAACAGGTGGGGGTGGTAGAAACTCACTCATAACCTTTTACCCCATGGTTGGGGTACTTGCACACAATGTGGGACAGTCCCAGTTCAAGTCCCCCTTCCACTTGATGAAGCAAAGTGATATGAACAGGGTCATCTGCCTGTCAGGATAGTGCCCTAACCAGTAAGGGTATGTCTACAGAGCAGCTAGCCACCCCCAGCTGGCCTGTGCTAGCTGACTTGGGCGTGCTGGGCTGTTTCATTGCTGTGTAGACGTCCAGGTTTGGGCTGGAGCCTGAGCTCTGGGACCCTCCCACCTCACAGAATCCTAGAGTCCTTGCTCCAGCCTGAGCCCAGAAATCTACACTCAAGGAAGGAGCCCCCCAGCCTGAGCCCCTCAAGCCCAAGTCAGCTGGTACGGGCCAGTCACGTTGTTTTTGTTTTTTTGCTGTATAGACATACCCTGAACTAATGACTATTTTGATGTGGGACTGAGTCAGTCTCTCCTGTGTGTAAATATTTAAATAGTAACTTGGCCATAGAGAGCGAGAGAGTGACTGACTCTGCAGCCTGGGGGTTAGGGCATTCACTGGTAAAGTGGACTGCCCTTGGGTGCAGTCCTCATTCTCCAATGACTCTTTAAGTTTCCCTGAAGACTGTAGCCAGTATATGTACAGAGATGTGAAGTAAGGCAGTAATGCAATAGACTACAGGTCTTAAGCCTGTAAGACAGTAGCTGAGCCCAAGTAGCTGAGCTCTAAGGTCAAAGCCTTTACATAAGCAGCTAACCCATAAATGACTTTATATTATAAGATGTCACAAGCTAGAGTAATATTATAAGTAAGTGTTGCTAAATTGCTGATAGGTGACCACAAGCAGCCTGTTTATACCAGTTTCAGGTATTTTTAAGTTAGGAATATCAGCAGATGTTTACCAGAATCCCATTGTAACTAACAGACATATATGCTAATAAGTTTGAGGTAATGGATTTTGTGAGCTTTGGAATAAGGGCACCCCAACATTGATAGGGTGAAGAAATACAGATCAGGAAAAGAGGTGGAAATCACTACTGAAAATGCATTGGTATGACCGGCATTAGCTAACCTATGAGAAAAGGTGGAACTTGGCCTGTCCACTCCAGGGAGGAACCTGTCAGGCCAAAGGACCACTTGTGGGTCCTCTAATCTAGTTGGGGGCTTCTCAGCAAAAGATGGTATGAATATGCAAATGAGCTCATGCCAGAGATTGTCACATCTTATATTGCCTCTATTTACTGTGCTAAGTGTAGTGTTATGACCGTAGTATTGCAATAACAAAGCTGTTACAAATTCAGAAGGTCTTTCCGAGGTGTCTGTGTCTCTGCCCTACCTGCAGGGGTCCTCACTATGATATTGTTCCTAAGACAGAAGCGGAACTCAGTCAAATCACTGATTGTTGCACTGGGAAATCTAAATAATATCTAACCAATAAATCAGGCAACAAGACAGACTGCTAAGTCTTACCCCGAAGAAAAGACTGCACACTAAACAACAGATGAGAACTTCCACCTGCTTAAAAATTCAGAAAGGTTTAGGAAATCAATGCTTATTGCTAAAATTCCATGGGCAATGTCTGTGCTTGGAAGGAAGTCAGAATTTGGCCTTCAAAAGCATAATTATTGTTGTCCTAGAACATTGAACCCATAGGAGTTCAGATCTATTTCATAACACCAAAGTCTTGGGCTGTTTGGAGTTCTTAATTGGAAAATACCAAAGATGTATATACTTAACAACTTCCATCAAGCTATGAAAAATATCCTAGTTTCAAATGATGCAAAAGAAAAGAATTGCAGTAGAACTAGTTTTAAAAAAATAGCACCTACAAGCAGTTTAAAATTGGGGAAAATGATCCTCAGAACATAACTGAAGTTCTAGGATTTGAATCTGACATCATTGTGGCTACAACTGATTTGGTGCTGATTAAAAGAGCATGCTTTCACCTGTAATTGTCATTTATTGTTCACGTGTTATGTGCATAGTGCTGAGCTACTTTGCTTGGCTTACTAAATTATTTGGCTTACTGCTTAAAAGAGCTACCCTTCAAATCTTTGGTTTGATGAGGCCATAACTAAATCCCAGCTATATTTATTGTGTTATCAGTGCTCTATGGAAATTCATCTTTTGATGGTTAATGTTGTTTTGTTGTCATCTTTCAATTCAATTCCTAACCTAAAGTGCTGCTGACAATTAGCTACTTCATTCATCACTATTCTGCTCTGCCCTGTGTTTTGCACCCGCTCCCTGAAGTTGTCCATCTTCGCATTTGTAAGTGAGAATTATGTGCGGTGTGAGAAGCATCCTTAGATCGCTCTCCCTCGTAATGTCACCCTGTGTGTTTGTGTGAGAGAAGTTATCTTCTCACTTAAAAAAATCTCACGCCAGTCTTTGTGTGTGTTCTAAACTTTAAATCCTTTTATACTAATGTCAGTTGTATTGCGTGTTTCTGACTACAGAG